GAACCACGTCAGTGGGTGCGGTGGCTCACACCAGTAATCTCAGCACTTTGGGAGGCTGAGGTGGGAGGATCTCTTGAGGCCAGAGTTTGAGACCAGCCTGGGCAACATAGCAAGACCCTGACTCTACAAAAGATTTAAAAATTAGCTGGGCATAGTGGTGTGTTCCAGCTACTCAGGAAGCTGAGGCAGGAGGATGCCTGAAGCCAGGAGTTGGAGATTGCAGTGAGCTATGATCATGCCACTGCACTCCAGCCTGGGTAACAGTGTGAGACCCTCTCTCAAAAAAATAAAAAAATAAATAGGAATGTTTGCCCTACATGAGGCTTGGAGTGGGAATAATTCCTTCAAGACAGTCGATTCTATGTGGTTGAGGTTTTCATCATCCTGCAAAGTAGGGGGAAGAGAAGGGACAGTGACAGGATGGAGGGTGTGACAGGAGCCCGTGGGTCTTTCTCTGAAATAACTTTTTCAGTTGGAAAATCCACCAGGATCCTTGTGGCACCATGGCAGGCCCACCCAGCCCAGCCTACCCAGAGCCATGGGGTACGGCAGAGGGTGGGCCTTGCCTTGTTTCACTTTCAGGAAGTGAGGGCGTTGGCAGCTGTGCCTCCGAGAGACAGGTGAGGAAGGGGAATGGAGGGAGGCGGCGGCCGAGTGTCTCTGGGGGAAGGTCCCAGAATGGATGCTCGATGCTCGCACTACCTACCTCCCTCATCATGCAGGTGAGCTCCTCACAGGGGCTGCTGGGATGCAGGGCTTGCACGTGGCTGAGGACGCTCCGGGCCCTCTGGGTTTCTGCCAGGAGCTCGTCCACGTCCCGGCTGGCGTAGAGCTGAGGGCGGTGGGAGCAATCAGCTGTCCAGAACTCATCTGGCTGCCAGCAGCCACCAGGGCAGGAAAGGGCAGGCAACCAGCTGAGTGGCAGACTGTTTAAACCAGATGCCAACACCTGGGCTCCGTGTCCCAGGAAGAGCCTGCAAACGTGTTTTGTTCCTCTTGTATGGTATCAGCCTGCAGCGCTTTTGAATAATTGAAGGGTTTTCTTACTTTACAAATTTAAAGAAATACTTTACGCCCACTAGGATGGCTATACTAATAATAATGACAATTTCATGATCATGGTATCTCCCCTGCCAGGTAAGTATAATGATAATTTTAAAAAATGAAAAATAACAAGTGTTGGCGAGGATGTGGGGAATTGGAACCCTTGTACGTGCTGGTGGGGACGAGAAGTGGTGCAGCTGCTGGGGAAACAGTCTGGAGGTTCCTCAAAAAATGAAACAGAGTTATCGTCTGATCCAGCCATTCCACTTTAGTTACATGCCCAAAGTAACTGAGAACAGGGACTTAGAGACTTCCACATGCATGTTCACAGCAGCATTATTCACAACAGCCAAAAGGCGGAAACAACCCAAATGTCCATCAATAGTTGAATAAATAAACAAGATGTGGTATATCCAGACAATAGAATATTATTCCACCATAAAAAGGATCGAAGTTCCGATACATGCCACAATGTAGATGATCTCTGAAAACACTGTGCTGACTGAAAGAAGACAGACACACAAGTGCATGATTCTGTTTACATGAAATGTCCGGAATAGTTAAATCCACAGAAACAGAAGCGGATTGGTGCTTACCAGGGGCCAGAGCAGGGGGACTGGGGAACGCCTGCTTAATGGGCACAGGGCTTCCTTTTGGGGTGACACAAATGTTTTAAAACTAGATAGAGGCAGTGGTTGCACAACCCTGTGAATGTACTAAAACGCCACTACACTGCTCACTTTGAAGAGGTTAATTTTGTTATGTCAATTTTTTTAATGTAAATAAATCACACACACACACACACAACTTATCCAGATATCTGGCTCTTCTTAAAAAATCAGAAGAGCTGGCATACTGAAGTCACATTCTTACAGAGCAACCACGGGCTGGGGCTGAAGAGGCCGCCTCTTTAGACAGGCGAATGTGATCTAGTTTGTCACAGTCCCTGTTGCCACTCTCCGTTGCTCCCCGTCAGAAAACCAGTTGTAATGTTTGTCATCCTTGCACTGTTTGCTTTGCTCATATTAAAGAAGTGCATCTCTCCACCCACAGTGGGAAAACAATGGATAAGCCAAGAGGGCTACAGGTTTTAATATAAAATATTTCTCGTACCAGCCAGTTTCATTCATTTGCCTTCCTAGCCTCTGGGGTCTGCGTCACCTCCAAACAGAGTCTGGGCAATGGCAGGTGTCAAGATGGGGTGTTGTAGGCCGGGCGCGGTGGCTCACGCCTGTAATCCTAGCACTCTGGGAGGCCGAGGCGGGCGGATTGTTCTGAGCTCAGGAGTTCAAGACCAGCCTGAGCAAGAGCGAGACCCCGTCTCTACCAAAAATAGAAAGAAATTAATTGGACAGCTAAA